TGTTGATTATATTGGAAGTACATTTTTTGGGGTCAATACTTATAATCATGTCTAAACAGTGTAGACAATAATCTAGATGGTAAGGTGACAGCTAACTCATAAGCTCATGGACATCATGTGCTTGGGTATAGAACAAGACTCGTGTGTGGGGCTGTCCTAAAAAACTCTTACCTACCTCTTTGGTAGTTCCTCTCCCATGTGAGCCCCTCTGCCATGTCAATTGTCCCACATTTGGTGGATAAAGGGGCATCCGAAGATTTAAATTCTTTTAAACAAGTTCTTACAAAGAGAGACATACTATAAGCACATGCTAACTCACGTCTAGTAAAATTTTTAACTATTAGAGGTAAGATATGCAATACGAGTAGAGTTGAATTGAGTACTCAATATTGCCTTGGTGATTCGCATCTCCAATATAATTTCTAAACATAAGTTTTATAGAGTTAATGTTTAAAAATAAGTTTCAAAAGGTTCTTTATTTTAACTTTTTAAAATAAAAAAATCAAATTCCTGTCTCTATTCATAATTTATAATGACTATAGTAAGCTACAAAGTGCAATGCTCCTCCTTTTAAATTATTCAAATTACATTTGAGTTGATTGGCCGTTGATATATATAAAAAGAACATGTTAAATAAGATATGAGAAAAAAATAATAAATATTTCTTGAGACAAACAAAATGAAAAGTCAAAATAGAGGGCAACATTGGAGTGTACAAAAAAAATTTATTGTCTAAATTTAAAAGTACTTTCTATTATGCATAAGATACTCTTTATAAATAAAAAGTTCAATTGTCCAGATTGTTGAGAATTTACTTAATTATGCACAACGAAAAATAAATTATTTTTCAATTCTCACCACGGATCTACTTTATATTTAGATAGAAACTGTGTTTAGAATAATACATTTTGTAAATTTTGCAAACTCCTTTGTTTGTCTTGAAACACGAATAATCACGATCTGCAATTTACAGCTGTCAAATTGTCCAACTTCCAATGAAAATTCACACATAGAACAAGAATAAGAGAATTAGAGTTTCTATTTTCTTGTGCTATCAAAAATATGAATTGTGTTTGCATCTTTTCTGAAATCCTAATAACTTAGTTATATAAGTCCAAGTGGGCTTGACCCGTTTCTTAAACTTAACCAGCTCCAATATTTAATTAATCCAATTAATTAAATTTGATCTATGAATTAATTAATCTAATTAATTAATTTGGGCATATTAACAAGCAACTCAATTAATTAATTGTACAACTCTTGTTAATTAATTAATTGGTGAATTTCATTCTTGTGGTTATCTTTTGTGTGTAACTTATCAGGTTCCCGATCACTTTACCTAACGACGTTAACTATTAGGAAAAAATGCATTTTTTGATGTGATGTTATGAGAAATATGTGGTTGAAAAAGAAGGAAAAATTATTGATGTGATGGAAAATATTATTTTATTGAAGAACGTGTGATTGAAAATGAGTAGAAGAATGAGAATGAAAATGAGAATGTGGCCCAAACATGGGCTAAGTTACCCCTTTTAACTTATCATTAATTCACATTTGTCGTCTCAAATTGACATCTAACAATATATTAGGGTAATACATCCCGTTGCGTGACAATACCAAACTTGTTCGTTAACTGTAAAACTATAATCATTTTGTCAATATGATTTGATCAATTACGAGATATGTATATGCGTCAATCTCAATTATCAATTATATCTTTCATCTCGTTATTAAGCCCCCGTTTGACACCCATTTTTTTCTCATTCTCATTTTTTTCTCTTTCTTCATTTTAATCACACATTCTATCAATAAAATAATATTACTCATAAACTTAAAAATTCTCCTTACTTTTTAACCACGCATTCTTCCATCAATCATTATTCAAAAACACATTTTTCTACTAAAATGGATGTCAAACACTCCTCAGTCATCACAATCTCTTACTGTTTAAAAGTGACGAATCCCCTCTTAATCATTCACGATCTTTATATGATTCTTGACATACCCGAATGATGTCATATTAACGACCATTGGCAGAGCAACGTCTAATATCACCAAAGTATGACTGTCCTCATGCACTATAATGACTTCAAGTCAAATGATCAATTTCACTACTGAACATTAGAGATTAACCACTGACATTCAAATAGTTATCGATGTGGAATCTCCCTAGTGGGTCTCTAATGTTTTGTTCTATAGCAAACATTCAAGTGTTCATTTAAGCATCACTACATTTTATCTTGTGATATCAGTTACTTACTTTACAAGTAAAAAATGTCACACATGATGGTCCATCCTTTATAACGATATATGTATCTCGTTATTATATGCAACCACGGACGATTTAAGATTCAATCATATGTAATTTGTATATCACAATCACAACTCATTGTGATTAACAAATTACCAAGATTTGAATCTACATATTCTATTATTTAACTTATTAGAACATTAATTCAATTAAATAATAGATTACGCCATAAATATGCATCAATTATTTATTAAAAGTATTTATATCCAAAGTTGATTGAACGTAAGACATAATACTTACACAAACTTCGTTTGGCTGGAACTCGTTGGTAGGTTATCCAGTGTAGGGATGACAAAAAAAATTCGACAAAATCGATACCCGGGATAACCGGCTTAATCGGGTATTCTGGTCGGGTCGGGTCGATGGGACGGGTAATGGGTTCCCCGCACCCAGTTTAATTTAATTTTTTTTTTTTTGAATTCAATACTTTAAATTAAAAATTTCACAAAATTTCATTGGTTCTAATAGAAAATTGCAACTAAATTTTTTTGTCTAAATCTAATGAATGAGGGTAATAAAAATAAATTATTAAAAATTTTAAAAAATAAAAATTAAACGGAATAGTAAACGGGGCAAGAGCCCCACCCCACCTTAAACAGGTAATGGGGACGGGGCGGGGAATTACTTGCCGCTCCCACCTCATTGTCATCCCTAGTGTCATGCATCCTAAATAGATCGAAACTAAGTTTTTTTGGTTCAGAGTACTACAACATGAAAAGTAAGTAGAAGGCAATATTTTCGGAATCAAAGGACAATTTTTTTTTTTTTGTCAGTGCTTAAAGAAGAGTATTCGTAAGTAGGAAAAACAAACAAAATTTGAAGACATTTTATTACAAAACCTACAGCGCGTAAAAGACAAGTATGTGGTCATATAATTCTTGTAAAATGGGGAAATCCATGGCTCAATTATTTGCACGACGGACAAAGTATTAAAAAAAAATATGAGAAATGGATTGCGTTGTTTGTCCATGATCCCCATGTTATGCAATTCATATCAAGACAAACAAACACCCTTAAGATGTCCCTACTCCCTACCCTTTGTTTGAGAGTAGTGCTACATTTACAGGGGCATGTGGTAACACACATGGGGTGGAGGCCACATATATATTTTTTAATACATTGGGGAGGGGCCCTGTACTATAGTGAGGGGCCTCTGTGAAATTAAGCCATGTACGCAAGGCTTAATTCTTTGTTTGAACTGAAATTTCATTGATGAGATTTTTGTAAAGGGTAAGGACTAATGAATGATAAGGCAACCGAAATTCCATCACATCAAATATTTTATTTACTCCGACATGGGCAAACAAGTTTATGCAATTTTCTACTAAATTATTTACTTCTGCGTTTTACTTCAACGTGTGGCATGGCATGAATATGAACTCTAGACAAGATACATTTCATTATTAATGCATGATGAAAATGAACATATATATTTTTTTTATCTTGTTCCATATTTCGAACAAAGAACTTGGAATAATCATCGTTGCAACCTACAGCATTTCGTGCAAGTTCTTTGCCATCTTTCATCTTCCAAGCCGAGCATTCCAAGTTCTTTATGAACTCTAGACAATATATATTTTCTCGTTGTTGTTCACACACCCACCACTATTCTGCTTTATAACCCGTTCATAAATTTGACAATCGGAGGCTAAATGGAAATTGAGAGGTAAAAGAAGAAAATCAACCAAGCGAAGCGTGAATAAGGACAATTGTAGTTGGAATAATATGAAAGCGCAAAAAAAGTCAGAATAATTTCACTTTTTTAAAGCTTGGCCATACGCTGGCTTAACATGGGAAGAAGTTGCGGGCCGGATAAAAATTTGTGGGTTGCTGAAGTCAGCCCATTGGGAAGAGATTGGGCCGTATGACCAATTAGTACTACAGAAATAAGAAATAAGGTTTAACTATGACAACTTTCAAAAGTAAGAAATAAGGTTTAAAATTTCAAAAATAAGATATTATTAAATTTTATTTATGAAATAATTAATTAAAATATATTAAGATCACAAATCTATACAATTTGATCAAAAATTAAAGAATTAATTGATTACAAATTATTTCTCGATCACAAAATCAAATTTTTTATAGGTTACAACTAATTTATTGGTCACAAGTAATTTCTCAATCAAACTTAATAAATTGTGAGTCACAATCATATTTTTCAAGTAACATATTATTTATTGATCACAAATTAAATAATTTATTGGTCACAATTAAACAATTTTTTTGATCACAAACACCCACATCTCATTCTATCCACCGCACAACCACCATGACTGGCATCAACATCACCACCATCTTTATCAAATCCTGCAAACCCACCACCACAGCAACGCAAAACCCTAACCACAGTAACCACAACACCACCAAACACCAAATTCCGGGACCATAACCACTGCCAAGTCGCGGTAACACTTGACACCTAGCACCAGATCACAAGTGCATGTGTATCACATGTGACCACTACCACCACAACACCACTGCTAGGCGCTAGCGCCACCACCGCTACCACCATCGCCATCGCCATGCAACCATAGTACACTATAGATTGCTGCAAGTTGCCGAAGAGGTAGATGAGGCTACCCACAAATGTACCGTTGCCGCCACAACCACCGTGCACCACTTGTGGACTGAAGCCGTTGGAGAAGTGGAAACTGTGGAATGAAGCATCAACCGAAGCACTTATAAAATGAAGCTGCTTTGGGCAACGGCAGCGCCGCTTCACTTTGAGCAGCAATCTCCAACAGCAAGGCACCGCTGCAAGCACAATGCCGCTTCGGGCAGTAGTAGTGCTGCCTTGCACAGTGGTGCTCTGGCAGCAAGACACCGAGGTGAATTGAGGAGATGGTTTCGGTACCAGATGAGAGGTGGGTGGTGGTGTAGATAGAGATTGAGATGAGAAAAAGAGAAGGGGGAGAGGGAGAGGGAGAGGGAGAGGAGGGGAGGGGAGAAGAGAGTAGGAAGTGATTTTTATGGTTTGAGATGAAATTGAGTTGGAGTTAGGGTGGGGGTGGGATGAATTAATTTAATTTTATAATAATTATTAATATTTTAAGAGACGAATTATCATATGAATTTTGAACAAAAACTTTGAAATCTTATTTTGAATTGGAAAGTTAATACCATGCATGGGTGTAATTTTCATCTGTGATTTTTATACCAGCCCATTCTGTTGACATTGCTGGTTGACTTCGACAATTTTTAATTGGATTAATAAAGAAAGAAATAAGCAACCATTCATAGATAAGTACTGTGCCACTAGGCTTGCCCCTTTAAGATGTGATGAATTACACGTTGCGTGTACATCATCTTTTATATCCTCATTTATATTGTGACACATAGTAAAACACAATTGTACAGTTTAAAAACAAAAATAATTTTCCCTCTCACAATTTTTAAAAAACAAAGGTAATGTAAAAAACAATGTCAATTAAAGAATGTACATTTAACATTATTGTTACACTTAAGATCTGATATATACTTGTAAAGATTTCGTTCATAAATAATATTTTATAAAATTCATTAAGCTCTTGTTTGATTTCTATTATTTTCAAAATATATTATTTTCTTTCTTATTTTTAACCACGTTTTTTTCAATAAAATAATATTACACGTAAATTTAAAATTTTTCTTTATTTTTTAACCATACATTCCACATCAAAATACTATTCTAAAATGCATTTTCACCTAATAAAAAGGGGCTCAAACAGGTTAAGAATTTAATATTGTAATTAAATTATAATCACAAAATTATATATACGTTGAGAAAACAGGTCTATAAAGAAAAGATTTTGCTATTTGTATATGAAAATGGTACATAATCAGCTACTGAAAATGATGTGGAGAAAAAACATTTGATAAAAAAAATTGACTAAGTTTGAAATTGGTAAATGTTAAGTGTCATGCAGTATTTTATAATCCCTTATATAAATCTTGATGTACATGTAGGAAAATTTGTAAAAAAAATGGTATGTATATAATTCAATATTTAGGGGAAGGAAAAATACTTGTCGTATATAATTATTTACAAAATATTTTATATAATGAAGATGTTTCAAAATATAAGTAAGGCCCCGTTCGGGAGGGATTAAAATCCAATTAAAATTGAAAATATGGCCGTTATTGGGTCCCACTCATCTAATAAAAGTCAACAATAACGACTATATAAGTAAGTTATTTGATTGATGAGATTTCGTTACACCAATGAGTGGCAAATTATAGAGGGAGCCGAAGTGGCACTACAAGCCGAGATATGGCTGGCTCGCAGCCAAGCCCCAGCTCACCCCACCCCCACCCCCACCCCCACGCCACAGCACTCTCACCACTTTCAAAAGTTCAAACAATTATTCTATCACTTCTACCAGTTGGCTGAGGCTCTATGAATTAACAAAGCTGTTGGGTCTATATAATTCGCATTCTACTTTTTTGCTTTTATTTTTAAAGATTTGTTTGTTCTTCTTCAACTAATCTTTCCTATAATTACCTCTACTAACAAACACCGGCAAGAACGCTGAATTCAACAAGCTTCTAGGCATACATAGATAGAGGAATTTCGAGAATCCGACAAGAACAGTTAAGTAGCTTGACCCGCCAGAGGAGAAGTTTAGCCGTTTGGGAGTTGCCGGCGACTAGAATGAGTGCGTCGAGGTTCATAAAGTGCGTGACCGTTGGTGACGGAGCAGTGGGTAAAACTTGCTTGCTCATTTCGTATACCAGCAACACCTTTCCCACTGTAAGTACCCTCTCATTTTCTTTTTCCCCATCTCTATATAATTTTCACTATTTTTTGGTTATCAGGTCAAGAAGCAAGGAAAATGATTAGGGCTTTGTTTTTGGTGCTTAATATTTGATAATTGTGAATTTGTGAACCCGATAATTTTTGGCTTCTTGCTCTAATTCTTTAGTTTTTAGAGCAAGAGAATGATGGAAAATCTTGGTCTATAATAGCCTTAATCTTCAAAGATTAGTGGAAAAGTAAAGTAACTCATTTTTTTCTAATCTGAGGAGATAAGCTGATTGGACACATTTTGTGAAGATAAAAGATTATATTTTCTTGGTTGTGATTGGTTCATGGAAAGAATGCAGTGAGGAAAATAGAATAGGTAAGGAAAGGAAAATTTTCGACTGGGGTTTTTGGGACCTTAACTAAGTTTTGGTGAGATTGCAGAAGAATATCTTGCGATATTATCATTACAAATCTGTAGGCCAATGCTTACAAATTTAGAGCTTAAGACTTTAGACAGGTTTGTCTTCCTTTTTTTTTTTTTTTGGTTGATAAGTCTGAAGCTTTTCTTTTGTTTGCTTCCATTTCTTGTCAAGTTTGAATTTGAAATTTGCACTATTTTCCTTACCATGAATCCACCTTTTAGAAGTGGAATTGAAAATAAGTCGTGTTCTAAAAGATTTTAATGCTTCAATAAAATACTTGCAAAGGCAATTTAGATGAGTATGGTTTTCGACTAAAAATAGACAAAAATTTTTCCTTTTGTTATTATTACCAACCTTGCTCTCTAGGCCTCCTCCAATTTTTGGTCAGTGGACGATTAGTATAAATGGGTTGTTTTTCTCAGTTTGAATTGAATGTTGTGTCAATATGAACTTGTTCCTTGTTCTTGAGTTCCCTTTTGTTTTGAATCCTTGGGAAGGTAGGTGAACAAAGATTACAAAGAAGATTAGGGGCCATTAGGTTACCCAGTGTGTTTTATGTTTTTCTTTTCAATCTGTGTCTTGTTATGCTTAAAAATTAAGGTGCAAGCTGAAGGATGGGAGGGTTAGGGTTGTGCTTAGAAGAGGGGGAGTCGACGTTTGGAAAAATTGGGGGGTGTTGGACACGGGGACATGCCACCAACTCTTCTTTTTCACTTATTACTCTACTATCTTAGTTTTTATGGTGGCCAACACTCTGTCCAGAAGCTCCAGTTTCTCCATGTCAAGGTCGAACACATCTTAACCTGACTGTATGCCCCCAAGGCATGGAAAATGCAGCTTTATCCATCTTTATTCTAGATCTAAACTAAAATGCACGAAACATTTCTTTGACTAAAAAATGTACACCAAAATGTCTGTTGTTTTTGTGCATGAAAAAGAAACGCCTTCTTTCATCCGTCAAACAAAATCCACCCATCCCATATTTTGTTCTGGGGAAAAACCTTGTTAGTTGTTGGTAACCTTGACTGTTTTCTTCATTTCACTTCATTTATTTTTGCCTTTGTTGGAGATCCATTGGATTTATGTATTAATGTCCAATTAAATCGTTAGTTCTACAGGCCTAGGACTTGATTTGGTTCTACTTCTAATCGAGTTGATTCATAAAAATTTCAAAGTAGATGCTCATTGGCATCACATGCTGTTCCCACCGGCGGTGTTGACCTTAATCTCTAGTTCTCCCTTCGAGCATCTCCATTCAGCCCCTCTGTGATCTAGTTCGATATGAAGCTGTTGATTTGAATTTTCTACTTTGATAAAATCTGAAGGGTTTCTCTGTAGCACATTGTAAAATTTTGTATACCATGTTTATAACTTGGAAGCACTTTGGCCTTTGATTCTTTCGTTGTAACTTGAACAGGATTATGTGCCAACTGTTTTTGACAATTTTAGTGCTAATGTTGTTGTGGATGGGAGCACTGTTAATCTAGGGTTATGGGATACTGCAGGTATATTAGTTATCAGTTGATATATTATTCATTGTGAAAACAATTATTGCATGTGTTGATTCTTATTTTATCTGGCAGGTCAGGAGGATTACAATAGATTAAGGCCTTTGAGCTACCGTGGGGCTGATATCTTTATACTTGCATTCTCCCTTATCAGCAAAGCTAGTTATGAAAATGTCTCTAAAAAGGTGAGGCTGCCGTTGCCACGTTAAACTGGATATACCTTTGTTGATTCTTCCTTCTTCTACGTGTTCCATTTATTTGGGAAAGAGCAGGGAGGGGAAAGCAAGACATCAACAAATTGGTTGAGCTTTGTTATAGCTTATTAATCGTGAATAGTTTTTGCATTCGGACCAATAAAAAATATGCAATTTGCGATTTTTGGTTCTTCCTTTTGTACAAATATTTCTCTTGGCATCTAAACGGCTAAGGAGATGTTCCTATTTGTGAACTACTTGCTTCTGCCTTAAATTTAGTATATAGATAGATAATAAAAAGAAAGAAGATAAAAGGCATGGTGCTGAATTTTTTTTTTTTTTTTGGATGTTCAGTGGATTCCTGAATTGAGACATTACGCCCCTGGTGTTCCAATCATTCTTGTTGGAACAAAGCTTGGTAAGAATCTCCTTCCATCCCTTTCTGTTGGAGTGCAGTTAATACCGATTTCTTGTCTTTCATTATATCTGATGAAATAGTACTGCATGTTGTCTGAAAAAATAAAATCAAAAGTTAGATTGTTCATTTGATGCCTGTATTAAAGTCTAAAAGACATTCATCTCGCCTCCTACACAGATATTTATCCTTTGAGAGCATTATCTAATGCGTGCTGCATAACTGACTTCGACTGTTGTGAAATTTGTCAATATGTGAAGATCTATGCATAGCAACCTTATCCAATTTACGCTGATATTGCATTTAAGTAATTTTCTGAGTTGGTTTGCAAGTAGACAAAATGTGTGCATGAATGTACTCTATAAAACCACGCTGCCATCACAAGTAATTTTACATACACTGTCTATAATTACCGGTAGCGTGTGGGTTTTGCATGAATATTGTTTAAAAGCATGTTGGGAAAGTGTTTATAAACGGCTTAAGTTGTGATTAAATAGAAATGAGTGATGGAAAAGTGAATAGTATTTGTGGGTTCCGCGAAATATGTGGATATAAAGTGACTTGATTATTTATAAATACTTTATGAACCAGTGCCAAATATAGGCCTAGTAGTGTGCCTGAACTTGCTCATATTTAATGCTCACAAATTTTGAACGTAAAATTGTTCATTAGCCGATTCTCAGAGAAGGTAAGCACGTTTAATATGTAATTCCCTGTTTTTATTTATCATAATCAGTATCATTCCTGTGGAATTAGCTCCACCGTCTTTATGTAGATCTGGTTATTGGTTTTCCTGTTTTTTAAATTTGTATTTTTCTCCACTCTCCACTCTCCCCCTCCCCCTCCCCCTCCATCTACATTTGTTTTCTTTTTATTATTCTATCCAAGTAACTATACTTTGTTTCCTTGTAGATCTCCGCGAGGATAAACAGTTCTTTGCAGACCATCCAGGAGCAGTACCCATTACGACTACTCAGGTATATTGTTGCATTTCATGTTTAATAAATTGTCATAGGGACTATCCAATTTTCATGCTTGGTTTTCAAGAGAAAACTCCACTTTCTTTTGAAATTTCCAACTTACTATGGAAGGGAGAGGAGTTGAGGAAAATGATCGGAGCGGCTGCTTATATTGAATGCAGTGCAAAGACGCAGCAGGTTAATTTTTCAATTTTTGGCACATCACCTTTTTGTCTTAATGTCAGAGCTTCTTTAAATTTCTTTAACTAACAATACTTCTCAGTAATCTTCCTACGAATATTGCAGAATGTGAAGGCTGTCTTTGATGCAGCAATTAAAACCGTTCTGCAGCCAACGAAGCACAAGAAGACAAAGAAGAGTAGAGGTCAAAAGGCCTGCAGTATACTGTGATTGCTAAAAGAAAGTAGAAGGATACGTATTTTTTCAGTGTTAATGTGATGTCCCATGCATTGACTTCCCCCCCAGCCCCATGACGATACAGTAGCCTGTGAGTTATAGTCTCGACTGACTGTACTAGGGAGCTCTCTTAAAGAATCAGTTTGTTGGTTTTCTTACTGTCAGCTGTAGTTTGACATGTATAACCGTCATTGAGGTGTGTACTATGATATGAAGCTGAACTTTGAAACCTAGAGAGCATGTTTGATATGTAGTAGTGGATGAGATTGGACTGTTGTATCGTCCAATTTATCTAATCTACGCTACCAGATGTGCCAAGAATGTATAAATTTCAGGATTGCTTCACATTTTGTGCTGTGCATGCCTGTTTATGGCTCCTCAGTCAATCCCAGCCTAATCATGATCAAGCGTGAATCGTTGGTTCAAAGATCCGAAAAATTCAAGTATTGGCCCACGGCATGTTTGTAGACATATTTACATTTTTATTATTTTGCAATTTTGAAGTATAAATTCAGCCATGGAGAGAACTGTTAATTGTCTGTCACACACATTGTCCTTCAATCTGAATCTGCAATGAATACGATAGAAATTGAAAATCTGCCAATTTTTGGGTGAATGCCAAATTAAATGCACCACATGACTGAGGATCAAAGGGAAAAAAGTTACTAAAAGAATTGTCTAGTCAAATATAGTATGACATCCTCGCTGGCCAACTTTTTTTTTTTGGGTGTTTCCACATAAGTCAATTTATTAATTGAATTGATAATTAAACATTAAATTAGTAATTTAATAAATTAATGTTAACGTAAAATGGAAAAAATTGACTTTTCCAATTTAGACAACTTGATTTGCAAAACCTTTTCAGCTATCCAATGAAATTGATCTGCCGTTTGTTTGTACGTTTCATAATTCAATTCTTACTTTTGGTGATTTAATCTATGTTCACATCCTATGATTAAATATGCTTTAATTATTTGTTAATTTTCAATTGAGCCATATTTTGCTAATATGCTTAGTGCTTAGTTTCTAGTTTTGTTTACTTAGTTCTATCTATGATTTATTTATCACAGAGAAATATAATTACTTGTTTATTTTTAAATATTGAGATTAGTAATCAATCCTTTTAAGTTTTATTTGATTTATAAGTACTATTACTTTAAAAATAAACTTGTCTAGACATATAATAACGTTAGGGATAAGATTTAAACTCGATTACGAAAATCACTTAGCATACGGGTTATGTATGTCTAAGAAAATTGATTTTAAATAATACTTAGGGGTCATGGTAAAATCTCGATTGGCCACATGAGAAGCTTACTAGTAAGTAATCATTTAAAAAAAAAGAAAATATATATTAAATTAATGATAATGAATTAGGACTTTTGGCACCTTCACGGTTCACTTTGTGGGCGACTAGTGACATCTCAAGTTGCCATTCTAAAAGTAAATCTCTAAAGATTTCAAGTAGGTAAACCTCCCCTTGTTTTCATGAGTAAGTTATATCGCTAAATGTATTAACATGTTATTACGTGAACTTTATGTTCGATTATTGCGTTTTATGTCATTAATGCTTCTCGACATATTCATGTACACGCATGTCATAAGATTAAATGTATAAATATATTATCTTATTTACTCTTATGTTAACATGATATTTAATTATCTACAATATATTAAAAGTGAGAATTGTGGAAAAACTTTTAAATACCAAATTCACCCTTTGCATATTTAACTATATGCCTGATATACCCTCATAATTGGAATACCAATTTAATTAATATTTATCATTTGGTTTGGAATTAATATAAGGAGTTAAACTCACACTCAATTACTAAATAAATAAAAATTAACAGAATTTAACTATTTAATTTTTATTTTTCACCAACAAAGCCCTTATTAATATTCATAATTTACTTTATAATTCGTGCATTAAGTCATTATTTAATTGAGGTTACAAAATGCATTACTATATTATATGTTAAAAGTAAATAACTCATAATTATTACCCTTACATGTGAATGAGTGGGAAACATTCAATTGGTTATTTTGATCTTAAATTTTATATTTTTGGTCAACAAATTCATAAGTTACATTATTATTTAATTGATATTTATCATTTGGTTTGAAATTAATACAAGAAGTGAAACCGACATTCAATTATTTAAAAAAATTAAACGAACTCAAAATTCAATTGACTATTTCGTTCTTAAATTTTTTTATGGGAAGTCTCTTGTGTGGCAAAAAGAATTAAGACGTGCGAGTCCAATTTCACATTAACGGCACAATATAGGTTTTTGATTCACAAAGTAATATTTTGTGTAATATGTATTAACTTCGGTGATTAGATAACATAATTATATTTTAATTAAATATTTTTAAAAAACTGGCCAAATAAGGATTTAATGTAAAAGTATGCTTATGAGGGATCTGGAAATATCCAACGGTTTTTGCAATGGAACAAGAATGAATTGTCATGATTTAAAGAAATATATTATTTATGCAGAAATAATTGTTGGACAACATTTTGAAAAAACAAGATTTCCTTCCACGCATTCCATTAGCTCCAGTAAATGATCCATTCAAATTTAAGATAAAATAATTTTCGATACGTCTATACTTTGCAATGACCATTAACAAGGCTCAAAGGACAAACATTGCACACTCTCGGAATATTTATTCCTGGAGTTTCGATACAAATAACAAAGCTCTAGAAAAAGCAGAAAAAACAAAGAAGAAAAGATGTGAGACGTTGATAAAAAATATTGTGTACAAAGAAGTGTTTTTGTAATTATGGCATTACGTATAAATTTATTCAACATTTTCACATTACAAACATAATTTCATAAGAACTTTTATTCAGTTATATATATTTTTTCAATTTTAATTTTTTCTTTAATATTATCAATTACGTCAATTTCATAGCCCCTGTTTGACACCCATTTTGAAGAAAAATCAATTCTGGAATAGTGATTGATGGAAGAATGTGTGGTTAAAAAGTAATGAAAATTTTTTGGTTTATGTGTAGTATTATTTTATTGATAGAATGTGTGGTTGAAATGAAGAAAGAGAAAAAAAAATAAGAATGAGAATGAGAAAAAATAGATGTCAAAAAGGGGCTAAATCTTAATCGCAGTAAATTTAGAATNAGAATGAAAATGAGAAGAAAATGGGTGTCAAACATGGGCTATATATATCATTCAATTGATACATAAGACGTGCAACGCACGTGCTTACCACTAGTTATGTTAAATGTCATTAATGTTTCTCATTATACATCTATGCATGTCAATGTATCCATAAGCATACATAAAGTTTCAAGGAATAATAGTTTCCAAATGTCAATGAATCAATGAATGTTTTTAAAAATATGTATCATGATTGGATATGGGTGATCTTCAAGTATGAACGAGTGCCCACATTCTGTTTCATTTGTGGAAAAATTGGACACTCCAATTCAAATTGTGAAAAACTTTATGAAGCTAACGGTGAGGAGCTGGAACAACCATATGTCCCTTTTCTCAAAGCTCCATCTCGGAATAATCCTGGTCTTGCCGGCGAGAGGTGGCTGCAGGGATCGTCACTAGAATCTTCAGATTCTAATTTGGTAAGACCGCGGATTATGACGGAGAGGAGGTACTTCCCAAAGATGGTGAAAATCATTCCTTATCTAACAAAGGAAAAGGCGTGTCTCAAGGGTTAATTTCAATCAATCCAACCCCCCATGCATTGCCACCTTTGCTGCCTAATATGAAGGAAAATCCCTTACTTAAGGAAGGCCTAGTTGGTGACTCCCAGAACAAGGAAAGTGATGAGGATCCGGGAATTACCATAATGGAGCAAAAAAGACGCAGGAAGAACAACTACCCGGAAGTGAACTTGAACAACCCGGTTCTTGATTATGAACCCATGCATGAGGATCCAAAAAATGGGGCTACGGTGGGCTCTGTCTTGCAGGCCCACCGATCCGAATGAGTGTCTTAAGTTGGAACTGTCGTGGGCTTGGCAACCCACGAGCAGTTCAGGTCCTTGCCGACCTTGTTCGTCAGAATAAGCCCAGTTTTATTTTCCTTATTGAGACTTTATCTTGTAACCAGAAAATTCTATCTATTAAAACTAAATTAAATTACGATTGTTGTGTTGTTGTTGATTGTATTGGCCATAGTGGTGGCCTTGCTCTACTGTGGAAGAAGCAGAATATGGCTAGCCTCATTAGCCTTTCCCGTTATCATATCGATGTTGAAGTAAATTTAGTTGGACAACCAAAATGGCCCCTCACAGGTTACTATGGCAATCCGGACCGTAGAAAACCACATGAGAGCTGGGACCAGTTGAGACTTCTTGCTTCTTCATCCTCCCTCCCGTGGGTTTGCCTTGGAGATTTTAATGACCTTTTATTCCAACATGAAAAGATGGGACAACACGAACATCCTAACTGGCTTCTCAATGGATTCAAGGAGACTATAGAAGATTGCAGCCTTTGCGACCTAGGCATGGTGGGCTGTCAATACACGTGGTTTAATTGTAGGGGTTCTCCAGGGTGGGTGGAGGAAAGACTAGACCGAGCTCTTGCTACTACAACATGGACTGATATCTTTCAAAGAGCCCAGGTTCATAACTTGGGACAATTTTCATCTGATCATGCCCCTATCTTCCTCCAACTAGAAGCACCAGTCTCACTCTTACCACGGCCAACTCATAGGAAGTTCCGCTTTGAAAATCTATGGCTCCGAGAAGATTATTGTAAGGATGTTGTTCAGTCGAGTTGGGACCGGACCGTGGGAGAACCTACCCTCAACCGTATCAAATATTGCGGTGATGACCTTCTTCGTTGGGGAGGATCCGGATTAAGACAACTCAACTCCAAGATAAAACAATGTAGACTCGCTATGGACAGACTTCACAGGAGAACGGATTCTGTCGGCATTCAGGATTTTCGCAAGGCCCAATTTGGTTACTTCAAAGCTCTTCGCCAGAAAGAACTCTACTGGAAGCAAAGATCTAGAAAGCTTTGGTTGAAAGAGGGGACTCCAACACTAAATATTTCCATCAAGCAGCCTCTTCTCGAAAACGACTGAATGAAATTCAGCGCCTCAAAGATCAACATGGAAACTAGGTTTTGGACAGAGCTGCGATTCATGGGATTATCTCTGAATATTTTCATGATCTTTTCAAATCTTCTACTCAAAGTGATGTTCCAGGTCCTGTGGTTGAGGGAATTAATGTTCGCATATCTGACTCCCATTATGAAACGCTAGCAGCCCCGTTTACAGCTCAAGAGATTCAAAGAGCCATCTTCGACATGCACCCTAATAAGGCTCCGGGACCGGACGACATGAACCCGGCTTTCTATCAAAAATTTTGGGAGGTTGTTGGTAAGGATGTAACTTCCTTGTGTTTAAATTGCTTGAACACTCACACTTTCCCCGCAGGTTTCAATGACACTTCCATTGTTCTCATTCCAAAAAAAGCAATCCTGAAGTTATGCAAGATTTTAGACCAATATCTCTATGCAATGTTTTGTATAAAATAGTGGCCAAAACTCTTGCTAATCGCCTCAAATTCATCTTGCCGGATGTCATTTCGGAGACGTAATGTGCATTTGTTCCTGGTCGATCCATAAATGATAATATTATGTTGGCATTTGAGGCTCTTCATCATATGAAGAAAAAGAATCGTCGTAAACATGGCATGGTTACTCTTAAAATTGACATTAGCAAGGCATATGCTCGGCTCGAATGGGGATTTTTGAAGCAAGTGATGACTTGTATGGGGTTTCCTCAAAACTGGATTGATTTGATCACTTTATGTGTCTCTACCGTTCGGTATCATATTGTTCATGGGGGTTTCGATATCGGACCCATTTTTCCGGAACGGGGACTGCGACAAGGCTGCCCCCTATCACCATATTTGTTCATCCTTTGCTCGGAAAGGTTATCCTCTCTTATTCATTCTAAAGAGATGTCAGCGCTATCCATGGTTGCAGAATAGCAAGACATACCCCCACTCTTACTCATCTTTTCTTCGCGGATGATAGCCTGTTGTTTTTCCGAGCAAACACAAGGGAATGTGATGACATTAAGGAGCTACTTCACAAATATGAAATGGAATCAGGCCAATCCATCAATTACAACAAATCTACTTTGTATTTCAGCAAAAATGTTGACCTCGAGAGGCAGATCGCTATTCGTTCTAATTTGGGTATTCAGGCTACCCAAGGGCATGACAAGTACCTTGGTTTGCCATCTATCATTGGAAGGAAGAAGAGAGAGGTGTTCTCTTTCATTAAAGATCGGGTTTGGCAACGAGTTCAAGGTTAGAAAGAAAAGTGCTTATCTAGAGCGGGAAAAGAGATCCTTATTAAGATCGTCGCCCAAGCTGTTCCTAATTTCGTTATGAGTGTGTTTCTGTTACCTATTCAGCTTTGTGAAGAAATCGAAAGAATCATGAATAAATCTTGGTAGCAATCTAATAAAGGGGAAACCAGAGGCATCAATTGGATTGCATGTAACAAACTTAGCCTTCCAAAATCACAAGGTGGTATGGGATTCAAGAAGTTGCATGAAACTAACCTAGCTCTCCTTGGTAAGCTCGGGTGGAAGCTACTAACACAACCTACATCTTTGGTTGCTCGGATTTATAAGGCGCGCTATTTTCCTTCTTCAACATTCTTGGAAACTAATATTGGCTATAGGCCAAGTTATATCTGGCGCAGTATACTTGCTGCTAAATCTGTCCTGAAAGATGGGTGTAGACTTCTAGTGGGTAATGGCTCCTCGATTAGAATCTGGCATGACCCTTGGCTTCCTAATCCCCGCCAAGGTTTTGTTACTTCAGAACCAAGCCCAGGAAGAGAAGATAGTTGGGACTACAATCTTCTCGCTGATCTTTTTAATGAGGAAGATCGTGGGCAGATCATGAAAATTCCCCTAATAGCACATGGGAGGGAAGATCGAATGTTCTGGATTCATGACAAGAAGGGTGCTTACTCATTCAGAAGTGGGTATAAGCTATTGATGGAAGATTCTTTCACACACTCTTATACTACTATTGAGAGTTTTTGGAACAAAATTTGGAGATATAAAATTCCAGCGAAGGTTCGAAATTTAATTTGGAGGGCATTGCTAAATGTTCTTCCAACAACTGATCAATTGAGGGCTAAAAGAGTCGACGTTGATAGCCCTTGCCCGGTTTACTTAACGCACGAAGAATCTGTTGTCCATGTTTTTGTCTCTTGTGAATTAGCCCAAAAGGTTTGGAGATAGTAGGAATAGCCAGTTCACCCCGCTTGGTTGCTAATTTCCAAGACTGGCTCACAACTACCTTAAAGAATCATCAGCAAGATCAAGAGATGATCGCTATGCTTTGTTGGGCTATATGGATGAATCGAAATGAAACTGTTTGGAATGATAAGTCGTTTACAGTACTTAAGGTGGTGACTATTGCAAAAAATTTCCTCCAACAATGGCAAGTTGCTAACCAACCACTTTCAACACCCTCGACCAACTCCAATAGACCGGAGCTTGTTAAGTGGAAACCACCTACTACGGGTTCCCTTAAATTAAATATTGATGTAGCCATCTTTGAAGACCAAGGGAAGGCCGGGTTAGGCCTGGTGATTCGAAATGACTTGGGTTCCTTTGTTGCTGCCAGAGTTGCTACTGTACAAGGTATTGTTGATCCA